CGTTAAAAAATTTAGCATTGAACTTTGAAGGTTTTTGATAACGAAATAATACGTATCAAAATTTAACCGTTAAATTTTAATTTCGAAGGGTTGCGACACAATCGATAACCTTCGAAATTTAACGTTGTGATATAATTTCGAAGGTTTTCAAATTAATATAATTACTGATGATAGTGAGACATTTAAAAAGACTCATTATGAAGGTATGCAAGATTATGAACAATGGTTATTAGAACAAGCAGATCACCAGTTGTATAGAGAATATGCTCAAGAATGGCTTAGATGTGACATCAGAGGAATAAGAGATGCTTATTTCAAAAAGCATGGAGTACAATGATTTGAATTACTTTGTCTCCCATATATGGATCCAATTAGATTTGCAGTGGTAGATCCTATGAATTGTCTATTCCTTGAAGTCGCCAAATAATAATTTAATCTATATTTGTTAAAGAAAATAAGCTAAATTCTGAATAACTTCGTATAGTACAAAGGTGGATGGATAGTGTTCAACTTCCATCTGATATTGGTCAAATCTCACCAAAGGTCACTATTGGAGAAGAATTTTCAAAGCTCACTGCTGACCAATGGAAGATCTTCATTATAATATATATAACAACAATTCTATGGGACATGCTAGATAATAATGATAGAAAGATTTTAGGACATTTTGTTTGGGCATGTAACTTATTGATTGCTAAATTTGTTACAGAAGATGATTTGCAAGAAGCACAAGAATGATTAAGGGATATGTCCATAAATATAGAAAGAACCTATGGACCTGAATTCATTATAAGTAATATCTATTTATCGATGCATATTCTTGAATGCATACGGGATTATGGCTCCATTTATAGCTTTTGGCTATTTCCATATAAGCGATTAAATGGATATATAGGTAAGCTATAGATATCGGATATATGAATTATAGTAAATAAAATTTTAACACAAATCTTTCATAGGTTCTTATCCCAATAGTAATCAGCAGATCAAACCTGAACTTATGAAAATAGTTCTCAAAAATTCGCTTGTGGATTATCATCTTTTCTATCAATGGACATCTGGTCTCTTGGAGAAATTTTTTCAATTTCTTGTACCGAAGAAAGCTGCTGGTAGCTTAGCTGTAACTAATAAATTTAATAGAGAAGAGTTATAGTATTTCATCTTTTTGAGACATGATATGTCCAATAAGATTTATGACACTGAAAATATATTAGGACAAATGTTAGCACCTTCATATAAAAAGATAAGTATTCAATTGAAACTCTATAAAATATTATGTGAATGGTATGTAACATTATATAACAAAGAAAAAAAAGATGTGAAAACATGTATGGAAGTGACTATGAACCAACATGCAAGATTAAAAATAGGTAATGAAATATTTGGGTCCAAAGTCACAGGTCGACATGAAAATAATGCAGTGATCTTAGCGAAGTGGAATGCGTTTAGAGATGGGACAAGTGATATTTATTCTGGAGAGGTATAATATTACTTTGAGCATATACTTACACTTCCAACGAAGGAATTCAAAACACATCTTCTAGTATACGTCAAGTGGTATAAAAATGCACCTTCCTCTAATATACGATTTAAGCATAAGTTTATGGCATCCGAAGTATCGAATACAGAATTATGGAAAGAAGAATATTATGAGGAAGGTCAGATTCAATTATTGCAGTGTATAGAATATATGGTAGAGCCATTAAGATAGACTATTAGGTTGGAAATAAGAATAATTATATATCAATAATTCCATTGAATAGAAGATTTAATGTTTAATTTATTCTTTTTTTTTATATTATAATAAAGAACTTCAAGTAGAAAACTTGAATTTTAAGTGTATACTGCATAAAGACGAATTAAGTTTAATTAAAATATAGTGTCAGAGATCTGATAGATTATATAAAATTTAAAATAAAAAATTTTCTTGTGCGCCTGTTTAGAAAAGGAATATCAGTTTCCGATATACTTTAAAAATATCGAGTTCATGATATTACTATAATATCGATACCTGAAGGAGTCTAAAAAATATCATGCTCCCGATATTACTATTAATTATCATATATCCGATATTAATAAAATATCGGGTGCCTGAGATCAAAACAAAATTTATCACATAGCTATCGGGCGCATTATAAAATTTACAAAAGTGTTATCAGGTCTTTAAAAAAAAAATGCAGATATCAGGCACCTGATATATATAAAAATATTTCATGTGCCCGATGATTTCCTGATAATTGACTGATATTTGAAAATATTGGGGGGCCGATAGGTGCCTATAGATATTCGATATTCAAATTTTGACCTGTGTTATTGGACTTAAGCAATTCTCAAGAAGCGAGTTCTATTTTTTTGAATTAGATTCCAGATATTTCTTTTAATCTGGTCTGTTGTTTCTCCTTCCTTTTTAATTTTCTGAATTACTTAATTCCAAACTTTGAAATAAGCTTGTATTTTCTGACCATTAGATTTACTTGGATCAATTGTAAATCTCAAAAGAGTATCAAAATTCTCTTCATTGTTAACAGTTTGATCTAATTTATATTCAGCATTATAAGTATCTTTGATATACTTGCTCATTGGTTTTCTTTTTGTCTTTGTTTCAGAAACTACTATAGTAGTTTCATAACTATTTATTTTTACTTTGATTATATCAGGATTGAATTGTATATTTATATTAGAAGTTGGGTGGAAACTTTAATAAAGGTCTATTAATTTTTATTGTTGTTCAGAGATGAGTTGTAAATTTATTTTGTTCTCAATTAAAATTACCCATGATATCAAATACATATATATATAAATTTCAATTTTGCACAAAAGTAATTTTGTGTAATCAAGAGGTAATTACAACATGTGGTTCTACAAGGTATCTCTGTTTGTAATGTTTCATTTTCTCTGCATGAATTGGCTTCTGGAGTATCTTTCCTAATTTATCACAAATTAAATATGTATTGTTTCCTAATTTGTTTGTATTCAAAAGGGTCCATTTTATTTTATTGAAAATTTATTTCCATGCACATATTGTTTTGTAGAGTCATATAATAAAATGATATCATCAACTTTATAAGATTGAGCTTTCTTAAATTTTGTTAACAATTTCTTTGGAGTTCTTATGTATATTGAATATTCCTATGGTTAATGATTTGAGCATTAATAAATATTCCTTTTAAAGCACTAATCCTTTTATTTAAGAATTCTTCAAAATTTTCAATTGGATTTAAATTTTGTTCTTGGTCTTGAAATTCAATATCTATTGGTAGTTGTACTTCTCTACCATATACAAGATAAAAAGGAGTATATTTTGTAAATTCTTGTTTTAATGTTCTATATGTAAATAAAATACTTGAAATTAATTTATCCCAATTAAATTCACTGGTCTGTAAACTTTTAGCAAGAGACCTGCATAAGGTATCATTAAATTATTCTGTTAATCCATTTGTTTGGGGATGATAAGCAGAAGAAAGTTTATGTCTGAATCTTACTTCTTTTTTTATTAATTTAATTGTTTCATTCACAAAATGAGTTCTTCTATTGGATAATATTATTGAGGGAATTTTATGTTAACAAATAATAGTCTCATATAAAAACTTAGCAGTTTCTTTAGCGGTAGCTTCTTTTATTACTTTTGCTTCTGGTCATTTAGTAAAGTAATCAACAGCTACTAAAATATACTTGTTTCTAGAGGAGATAATGTTTAAGGGTCTTATAAAATCTATTTCTATTTGATAGAATGGTTATACTACTAGTATGAATTGTAATAATTGTACTTTTCTTAGTTTTCCAAATCTTTGACAACTGTTACAAGATTCAATATATGTTTTAATATCTGCTCTTATACCAGACCAGTAATATTTTCTTGTTGTATTCTCTATTGTTTTCTTTAAACCAAAATATTTTGTCAAAGGAGATGAATGCAAATTATATAAAATTTTTTCTCTGTCCTACAAATTTATAACATAAAAGAGGTTTTCAGGATTCTGTTTGTTTTTCTTAAATAAAATACCATTTTCTACTATATACTGTATTACTTGTCTTGCTAATTTTTGTTTTTGTTGTGAGGTTAATTCAGATGAATAATTATGTCGAAGTAAGTAATCAATAAATTCATTGTACACTTTCAAGTCCATGATAAATGGTGTACTTATAAATATATATAAAAGAGATTAAAATAAAAGGGAAAGAAGACTATCTACTGGATTAGTTTCTAATCTTGAGAGTGCATCTGCATTTGTATGATCACTTCTTTTTTATTTAATAATGTTATAAGGTTTATATTCAGACAAATGAATTATACATCAGGCTAGATATCTTTTAGGTTGCTTGTGTTTCTTTAACCAAGGAATAGCTTCATGATCAGTAATAATACTGAATTTTTATCCTTATAAGAAATGATGAAAGTACTTGGTGGCCCATATAATAGTAAGACATTCTTTTTCAATTACAGTATAATTTCATTCAGCTTCGTTAAGCACTCTACTAGCATATGCAACAACATGTTCCTTTTTTATATCATCCAACTGAGCTAAAATAGCTTTAATAGCATAATTAGAGGCATCAGTGTATAAAATAAATGGCTTTGAAAAATCAAGGTGAATAACTATAGATTTTGTAGTAAGACAAGTTCTTAAATGTTCGAAAGCTTTTAGACAATCTTCAGACTAGCGGAAGTTTACATTCTGTTTGGTTAATTTATACAAAGGTTTAGTAATTTTGAAGAAATTCTTTATAAATCTCCTATAATATAAGGTATGTCCAAGAAAAGATCTAATTTTTCTCTTGGAAATTGGAGGAGGACATTCCTTAATTTTCTTAACCAAGGTCAGGTTTGGTTCAATTCCTTCCTCAGATATCAAATGTCCAAGGAAAGTATTTGTTTTCTAAAGAAATTACACTTATTAAGATTTAACTTTAGACCTGCTTTAATTAATAACTGCAAGACTTGTTCAAGGTGAGCATAGTGATCTTCTAAGAATTTTGAATAGATGATAATGTCATCCATATATACTAAAATAAACTTCTAGGTCATATCATAGAAGACATTATCCATCAAGCATTGGAAAGTAGCTAGGGCATTCATTAAACCAAAGGGTATAACTGTAAATTCATAAATGTCAAATTTGATATCAAAAGTGGTTTTCTCTTGGTCAATTGCATACATTGCTACTTGTCAGAAACTAGAAGTTAGATCAAGAGTTAAAAAGTATTTGCTGTGGGTAAAAGCATCTAACATATCAGAGATTTTAGAAAGAGGATATACATCAGGTTTTGTTACTTTATTTAATTGACAGTAATCTATAACAAGTCCCATTTTTCCATTTGTCTTGTTAACTACAAGTGCAGGAGAAGTCCAAGAGTTGTGAGAAGGTACTATAAGTCCTTGTTCTTTGAGACGCTCTATTTCCTTCTTTATAAAAGACTCATATTTGAAGGGAAGTTCTGTAATAGTACATCAAAAAATTTTTCAGGGCGTAAATTTCCGTAATAAAAATGGGATCCACGATTTTTTTGACTTTGGTCACAATTTACGAGACAAGAAGCGATTTTCTACTAAGATGTTTCTATAACAGATCGAAAGCCCTGGTTCTTGGCTACAAGATGATATATAAATTATTCCTGTAGCATTGATATCCGCGGAGATATTCACGTTTAAATTTTGAATGTCCGTGAAAAATTCGGCGTAAATTTTCCGTAAATTTTCGTAATTCTGCCGGAAATTTATCGTGACGTAATGAAAATTTCCGGCAGAATTACGAAAATTTACGGAAAATTTACGCCGAATTTTTCACGGACGTTCAAAATTTAAACGTGAATATCTCCGCGGATATCGATGCTACAGGAATAATTTACATATCATCTTGTAGCCAAGAACCAGGGCTTTCGATTTGTCATAGAAACACCTTAGTAGAAAATCGCTTCCTGTCTCGTAAATTGTGACCAAAGTCAAAAAAATTGTGGGTCCCATTTTTATTACGGAAATTTACGCTCCGAAAAATTTCCTGATGTATTATTTTATTTCTCTAGCATTTCCAGTATCAATGTGATGGGTTACAATATTAGTATAGCCAAGTTGAGTTAAATCTTTAGCCATAACATTTGAATATTTTTCAAATATATCCTGGACAATATAATTATATTCATTTTGAACGAATTCTTCTACTCCTCCTTTTACTAAAAATGATTACGCATTTTTGATTTCTTGTACAGGGATTATTTAAATTGTTTTTCAGCGAAAATAATCTTCATAACAATTATTACATTTATCTTTTTCTGTTAGTAATTAGTTTTGACACCAACATTTCTTATTAGGTCTTTCAAACCAATGTTTAATTTGATGTCGGTACCTTTGATTAGTTAACCAGAGATTAAATTGTTGATTCATATAATTATACTCTTGCTAGGTAAAGGTTTCATGATCAATTTCAATTCTCCAAAAGGTAAACTTGTAAAAATGTTGATCTGGACTTTTCTTTTCATTTACCATTAAGACAAGGTTACCATCCTCATCTTTATCCTTATCCTCTTTATATTTATAATTATCATCATCTGAATCTTCCTCATTATTTATTATTAATAAAGGTAGTACAGTGAAATTCCTATAAGAAACTTGGGCTCTTCTATGATTATCAGAAATAGTTACTTGGGAATCTTTATAATTTATTACTATATTGGCCTTTCGTAACTAATTAGTTTCCAATACCATAGAATAGGATACTGTATCTATAATTTCCATATCTGTAGATACAACTATATCACCTATGTGAACTGTAATATTGTCAATAATTCTTAGGCTAAACCTTTTGTTACCATGTATACCAATGATCATTTTATCAAATTTACAAGTTACATTTTGTTTAAATGTTCAAGAAATTTCTTTGAAATAATACTTGTAGATAAACCACTGTCCAGAATAATATCAATGGTCTATCTTTCTACTTGTCCTTTACAAATCATAGGAGTATTAGAATAGGAAGTACTTCCTAAGTTTGTTCTTCTTCATCTTTCTTTTTCTTTTTCTTAGGATCTCTCTTTCATTTTGGAGTTATAGCTTTTCTTAATTTATTTTTGAACTTAGGTATATTTGCTAATTGTCCTATAGTAATATTTGATTTGACATGTAACAAATCTTTAACAATTGAGTAGGACATGATCTTTTGCTCTAATAAAAGCTCTCTGTAAAAACTAGCTTTTGCCTTTCTTTCTTTCTTTTTTTCTGTTCACCTTCTACTTTTCGTTTTCCTTATTATCCTTAGAACTTTTAGCTTTTGTAAGTTCTGAAATAAGCACAACTATCATTTCAACTTTATTGCTTCCAATATTTTATTTTGTGGTTTAGTAGCATGTCAAGACTGTTGTAGTTCTTGAGATTCTCTTGTATATGAGGGAATTGCATTATTAGACATACTTCCACCTTCCTGGGATACGCTTTTTAGTTTAAATGCTCAACAGGATAAACTTGTTAAGTTAATGGTGTTGTTTCTGTTTCATGTAATCCTACTAAAACTTGTTAGTTTTGATTCTGGGGAAGTTGCTGAAGAACCACTAGAGGAACATTTTGATATTGGTTTATTTGAGGTATTTGTTACTATGCTAGGGGTATTTGCATTTGGTAAACTTGTGGTTGTATTGTTTGTTACAGTTACTGCTGTGCAAACAAATGGGTTCCATACATATTTTGGTTCGCAGGGACTTGATTATTAACAGGAGGTATTGTTTGATTATTATTGTTACTGTTGGCACTAGAACAATTTCTAACATAATGTCCTATCTAATTACATTTATAACATGTAACCGGTCTTCGAGGTGATCTGTTATTGTTATTATTGTTGTTATCAAAATTACTATTATTATTATAATTTGATCTGTTGGACTGAGGTTGGTTTGTATTTTCTGTATTATTATTTCCTTGTTCTAAAACTAACTTTTCCAAAGCTTGGATCAATAGATTTAAAGCTTTATTTATTGCTGCTTCAACAGTATCACTTTGAGAAACTAGATTTGAGTTTTGATGTGAATATGCCATTGTAACTAAATCATTAATATGAGGTTGTTGAAATCCTAATAAAGCTTTTGAATAAACTCTATTATTTTTCTCCATGCATCAGGCTGCTTTAATCACTTGATCAAGAGTAAGGTTGTTTTGGAAGGTTAAATGAGGATTTAATTGACAAGTAATTTCTCTACATAGTCCTTTAGTAAATTGATATACTTTATCAGATTCAGTTCAATGGTTATTATAATCAATTCTCCTAATTAAATACTTTATTTCTAAAACATATTTATCAACAGGTTCAATGAGACCTTGTACTTGTCTCTCTAATTCTGATCTCCATTGTATAATTTTTCCTTGGTTTCTGAATTACCTAAGAAAAAGAATTTTGAAACATCAGTTGTTTGGATTTGTTCAGGATTGGAATTGGATTCCCATGTTGGCTTCTTGTAATTTATACCATGTTCTAGTTTCATTTAACAGATATCCTCCAACTACTTGTAATTTGTAATTGTTATGATATCCATTTATTTGAGCATTTCGTTCAAATTCTTCAAGCCATTCGATAGGATCTTGATTTCCTCCCTCAAAGTAAGGCATGAGTATAGTATTTTTAATTTTCATTTGATAGGTTAAATCTTGAAGTACATTTATAACTGCAGTAGCTTGTTAGGTATTCATGTTGTTAAAGAATATGGGGATAAAGATAAATATATGTGATAATTTGTTAAGGATTATAACTATACTAATACTAATAAGAGATAAATATATAAGTGTAAAAATAAGGATAAAAATATAAAATATTACTAAAGAAAATAATAACTAATACTATTGGGAAGAATAACTTTTAAGAAGTTTTAATCTTTCAAAACTTGTATACAATTATCTCTAATTTTAAAAACTAAATTTAATTGTTCTTTAATTTTATACAATTTTTCAAGATCAGTTATTTTCCAATATGGATCTTGGTCAATAGGAATTTGATCAACTATGTATTGTATTTTTTGATAATAAATTTCAGTTAATTCTAAGACAATATTATTCAATTCTTTTAATTCGATTATAAATAAAATATAAACTAATAAAAATATAAGGGAATAAAAGATAAATAAAAATAAACTAAATTAAACTAATTAATTT